CATTATCAGCAGAGTGCATCACCAGAGGGGTACATTTGTTGGAATCAATGAATCTACACTGACACGTCATTATCACCAGAAGTCCATAGTTTACATCAGTGTTCACTCTTTTTTTTTAAGTTTATTTTTAAAGTTTTTTTTAAAGTTTATTTATTTATTTTGGCCGCACGGCACGTGGAATCTTAGTTCCCCAACCAGGAATCAAACCCGTGCCCCCTGCATTGGAAGCGTGGAGCCTTAACCACTGGACTGCAGGGAAGTCCCCCATCAGGGTTCACTCTTGGTGATGTACATTCTATGGGTTTGGACAAAGGTAAAATAACATGTATCCACCATCAGAGTATCATACAAAATAGTTTTACCTGAGGGCAGGGATTTTTGTCTGTTTTATCTCTGCTACATCCCAACAACTAGAATAGTAGGTATTCAATAAATATTTGTTGAATGAATGAATGAATATGTAAAATGAAGTTGACCTCTGTTACGAGTCTATGATTCTTTTAGAGCAATGGTTCTCAAAATGTGGTCCTAGACCACAGCATCAGCATCACCTGGGAACTTGTTAGATATACAAATTCTCAGGCCCCATCCCAGGCCTACCTAATCAGGAACTGTGTATAATAAGCTTCAGATGATTCTGATGCATGTACAGTTTGAACACCACTGGGTCTGAGCATTTACAACTCTATATACCCAACAGGGCATGTAGTGGTCACGCAGTAATATTTATTGAATGTACAGACCTTAAAGGCCTGCAGACAGGCCTGAGACTGTGAATGAACTGACCAAGATGCTGGTTTTGCCTGCTAAAGATAACAGGAACATGTTAAACTTCAGTTCCTTACTACTAGGAATGCTATGGAACTCCTCAAAAGCTGAATCAAGAGTGGTGGACAAGGAGTTTCCAAGGACTAGAGAGTGAGAGCAGGAGCCCTGCACAGAAACCTGCAGGTGGGAAGCTGCTGTCTTCTCCTTAGATGTGTAGCAGCAGCCACAGAGCATATTAACAAGCCCACGGAGGCTCCGAAATAAAATGAAACCACGTCCAAGCCAGTGACCAAGGGCTGAAGGGCTGGGCCTCCTGGCAACTGCAAATGCCCATAAGCTGAAAAGATACCAACTGCCCCCAAGTGCCAGGCACAGATGCAGGAAGAATGCTCTGTGGAAAGAAAGGCCCTTTGTGGTTTATGACCATGGTCAGAGCGACAGCTATCATTTTCTTCTGGGCAAAACCTCCAGATCAACAGCTAAAGCCCAAAGCATGCGGGTTTCTCCTTCCCTAAGCTCTTTGTGCAGGAATAGCAAAGGAACACCCTAATACTTCAAAAATTCCCAAAGGAACAGAGGCCCTAGAAGGAAACTCACATTAATGAATCACCTACTGTGTACCCTGCTCCCACCATTCCATTGTCCACACTGCAGCCAAAGGGACCTTTGTAAAATGCAAATCTGATCCCTCACGCCCCTGATTAACTCTTTCAATGGCTTCCCATTGTCCCTCGAAAAGACCAAACTCCATAGCCAGGCAGAGGAGAGCTCTCAAAAGCTGGCCCTGGGCTTCCCTGGTGGCGCAGTGGTTGGGAGTCCGCCTGCCGATGCAGGGGAGGCAGGGAAGGGCGCCC